AGATATCTACAATTAAATTATGACTAGTCATAAAGTAAATTTAAGATATCTCAATTTTAGTTTTGACTAGTCATAATTCTAATTAAAGATATCTCGAATTACTCCATAATTCAAGATATCTTAAATGTATTTTTGGATTGGAGAAATGTAATTTTGACTAGTGAAAACTAAATTATAGATATCTCAAATTCAAATAATGACTAGACAAAATTAAATTAAAGATATCTTGAATTGTAATTTTGACTAGTCAAAATTCCTTTTTGACTGATATCTTGAATTACACAGCTTTTCTATTTAAGATATCTTAAATTGACATTCCGACTAGTCAGAATGACATTACTGATATCTTGAATATGTATTCTGTCTAGTCAAAACGTCCCTGACTTACGTAGCAATTTGAAAGTTTAATAAAACAATGAAAAGTAGAGAAAACGAAAAAAGATGTTCGAAAATGGGCCACTTTCATGTTGAAAATGGTTTGACAATAGCAATTTTAGCTTTTGAAAGCTGTTTTTAAGTGCATTCGGTTCGTTAGAAATGAATAAACAGGAAATTCTTTGCAGATATCAGAAGCAGTCTTATAGTTTACGAAGTTTTGCTATCTCTGCATTTCCAACATTGTCGAGCTCTTTCTAATTTGTGGCATTTACTGACAATTTTGTGCAGGAAACATAAAATTCTGCAGGCAACTGTTTGGACACCACAAAGGGGCTTCCACGTCATTCTTAATTCAGATATCTAAAATTGTAATTTTGACTAGTCATAATTGTGTTGAAGATATCTTAAATCGTAATTATGTGTCTCGTCAAATGTCAGATCCAGTGACGTCATTTGAGATATCTTGAAAGGAATTTTGACTAGTCAAAATGTAATTGAAGATGTCTTGAATTATTATTTTTACTAGTCAGAATGTAAAGACAGATATCATAAATTATAATTCCGGATAGTCAAAATGTAGTTTTGTATAGTCAAAATGCATTTTTAGATATCTGGAATGTAATTACGGATAGTCAGACGAAACCGAATTTATGTTAAAACGGCTTGCCATAATATATCCATATTATGCTGGTGGCATCCATCCATTTACCATCCAGTAATGGATGGATGAATTACATTAACAAGAGACATGCAAACTTATATGTTGGTTTTTTCTACTCTTTCCCTTTATTTTCTCTGTCCCTGAAGGATAAGTCCTTTTGCAAAATAGTTTTGCTTACATATTTTCCACCAGTGCTTTTGAGGTTTGGATGCGCTCTGCACATTGCACGGCAGTTCATGTTACGAAGCGTGACCTATCGTGGCCACTAGGGAGACTCTAAGGACATTTTTTTTCTTCTTTTTGCCCACATAAAGAATGATTTCTACAAAGTTCTATAAAAAAATGTTTATTTTTTACAATAACATATATTTGTTCTATTTCTCTAAAAGCAAAGTTCAAACCAAAACAAATAAAAACATATCAATATATTACTGTAGGCCACCTGTATAGATAAAGCAGAAAGTAGAAGCAATTCAATGTGAAAAAAATTATTTTTATTGATAAAGTACTGGCACACAGAGGATGGAAAGTAACTAGTTGCATTGCTGTAATCGGAATTTGTCTGTACTTTGTAGTTTGTTTACAAAACCTGAGCTTTTCAGTAAAGTATTTAACTCAGTCTTTTCATGAACCATAACCTGAGCAGGAAAGCCCTTAATTTCCTGCTCAGTTGATATTAGAATATTTTACCTTACAATTAAAACGATCAATGGTATTAGGAATGTGTAGCTGCTCATTTTCTTTATATGCTTGTGAATCAGTTTTTAAAGTATTAAGTTTTGTTATTTTTTTTAAATCCAGTTGATTTAAAATTTAGCTCAGTTTGATCTGTGATCATCCTTCTTTAATTTGGTTCTCACCTGAGAAATAGCTATCTGCTTACTGACTGTTTTTTCATCCGACACAGGGCTGCACAGTATGCTTGCATGTTGTTGGGCTACACTCTGCACAAAAGCAGTGTAGCCACTGACCTCCAAAGAACTATCAGTGAACTGGAAGCACATATGAGCCTGACAAGAAAGTGTAAGTGTAAAAATTCAGTATGAGTTTTGAGTACAGAAGCTCTGCTGGTTCTGACATGTGTGATGTCCCACAGTGCTGCGTCTGGGGAACTCTGTGGAGGCTCTGCAGGCAGCCAAGACGACCATTCACCTTTCTGACAGTGTTCTGAGGCTGTGCCTTACCATTGGTCATCTGAACAGAGCCATGTACTTTGCTTGTGATAATGTTGTGTGGGCAGGGAAAATTGGCATAATTTCCAAACTTGATCAACAGAAATGGAGTCATAGATCTTTCAGGTAAGTTACATATTTTTTGTGTGGGTTTTTCTCTGAATTCTACAGTTTCACTATTTAAAACTGTCTGCTATTGGTATGTTCTTAGCAACTTTTATATCCAAAGCAAACAATTAATTTGGTAGGCCTTTAAATCACAATGATACAGAAATCATGTGTCTGTTAAAACATCAGATTTACAGCCTTTTAAAATGACACAAATATGTTTAGGGCCAGCTTGAAGACAACTCTTCTCTATTGTATCAAGTCTTTCACAGCTTGCCCCGAATTGGTGCTTTGATGAGGGCACCGTAGAAAAGAGAGCTGAGCCAAAAAGCATAGCTCTCAATTTACCTTTTGAAAAATAGGTAAATTGAGACCGTTTATCAACAGGTAATTTGACCCTGGCATCAAGGGTCCTACTGATGACGCAAACATGTTTAAAGTAATGTAGTAGTATGTTTTTTACATACCAATAGTCCAGTGTTTCTCAACCTTTTTTGGGCCAGCGCCCCCCCTAGCCTTTA